CCAGGGAGCGCGGGGCCCCGGGGGGCGCAGGGCCCGCCTCCCGCCACCGCCTTGGCGTGGGTCCCGGGGGGAGACGCACTGAGCCTGGGAGGGCCCGCGTAAGTCCCCATCAAAACTCTTATTAAAACCTTTCATTCTACAGTTGTATTATTTCTGCCTCACATACTATTTTTATGGAACTTTATTATTTTTTTTTCAGCCAGAATCTGAAATAGAGACAGATAAAAATGGATTTTTGCAGTATGATGGTAAGTAGTTTAGTTTGTACAACCCTATACACTTATGTTTATTTTCTTTTTTAAACCCAAGGACTTTACTCTCTATGAAAACAGTCTTTTTTTCTTTAAAGAATTATTTATTTATTTTTAATTATTATTACTTTTTAATTTTCTATAGAGCATGTGCACTCACCAGAGAGAGACAGAGAAAAAGCAAGTCACCAGGTCCAGGACTTGAACCATGGTTAGCCATGTGGGAGTCCAGTGCCTTCACCACCATGCCACACCATCTGATTGCCCCATATGAAGACAACTTTAAAAGATGTTTAAATAGGGACCAGGAGATGATGTAATGATTACATCGCTGGACTCCCACATAGTCAACCACCACTTGAGTCCCAGACCCGGCAACTTAAAACTAGTACCAGGCATAAGTGCATGCATGCCCAAAATCCCAGTAGGAGAATGTAGGAGAAGGGACTGTGGCATGGCCATCCCCCCAGAGGGTGATTTCTCATTTTCTGTCTCTCTATCTCTCCAGCGAGCACACATACCCTATAGCAAAAATCTCTCTTGTAAAAACTGTCTTAATAAATTGCTGTACTTGAGTGGCATGGCAGTTAAGGCGTTGTACTCTTACATGGTTGACCACGATTCAAGTCTTAGAACTGGCATCTTGAAACTCACATTGGGCAAATATGTGTGTTTGCCCAAAATTTCAAGACAAGAATAGGGCAGAAGGGACTGTAGCATGGCCATGCCACCGAGGGTGAGTTCTCACTTTCTGCCTGTCTGTCTCTCCAGTGAGTACACAAACTCTGTAGCAACAATCTCTCTAAATAAATAAATATATATGTGTGTGTGTGTGTGTGTGTGTGTATGTATGTATATATATAGAGAGAGCGAGAGCTGTACTCTAAACTTGCCTTTGTAGGTTTCTGATTTATGTTTAACTGTTTAAATAAATAAAATCTTTTTGTCAATTTTATATTTAAAACAGAAACAATGGAATGAGAAATCATTCTTCTTGCCAGTCCCCTAGCCTAGTGGCTAAGGAAGCCAGCTCCCACATGGCTGATCCCACAGTTCAAATCCTAGCCCCAGTGGCTTGAAAAATATACCAAACATGAGGATGAAGAAATGGAGGAGAAGGAATTGTGAGGTGGTCACACCCCATCAAGGGGTGCTTTCTCCTTTTTCCTCTCTTTTTGTCTCTGTGTCTCTCTCTAGTGAGTATACATACCCCTTTTGCAATTTTTTTTTAAAGGACAGAATTTTTTTTTTCTTCTGAAGCTGGGGCAAGGAAGGTTTTCTGTCCCTCTATACCTCCCTGCCTTGGACATACATAACTAACTATTCTTGCTATCCCTGAGCCCGCCCCAAGAATATCTTACCTCGAACAAACCCTAAGCTCTCATCTTCTCAACCCTCCTTCCTGGTGGCCATAGTACTGGGCTTGTTTTCTTTGTTTGTTTTCTTTTTCTTTTCACCGCTCAGAGAGCTTTGTAAATATTTTTAGATGGATTCACCTCATTCCCTTGTCCCAAGCTAACACTGTTTTGAAGCCAAAGAATTGAAGTCTACCAGAAACAGTTATTTTCCTTTAGAGACTATCATACTAATAGACTATGTTATATTTAATGGTCTCACTAACTTTTATAATTAACAAGATGAACATTGAGTATTTTTGCAAACTTGCAACAGAGGGAGCTCTCTTAAAAACTCATAAAGTATGTCCTTTATTTTTAACTTTGACAACCTTGAAGGAAGCTGTTATATAATCAGTTCTTACAGACACCTGATAGTTTTAAGAGAGGCAGAATATATTCTTGACTCACTCTTGGTCTTTAGCTACAGCCAAGATTTTTTTTTCTTCTCTTCCTCTGGCCAAAGTTTAGTGAGAAAGATTGTTACCAAGGAAGAGTGAAATAAGAAAAAACGGTTTTCAACAATTAACAAAGAATTATCATTCCTACTTTTTAATTTCTTGCAAACTAACAAGAAAAATTAATATCCAAATAGAAAAACAGTCTAAAGATTTGGATGAGCTATTAACAACAGTTTAAGTTATTTGATTAATAAATGTACAATAAAAAGAACCAGCAGTTAGTGTAATGGCTATGTCTCTGGACTCCCATGTAGCAACAATCTCTCTAAATAAATAAATATAT